CATTCAATCCTACTATTTTCCCATTTTTAATGTTTTTTATTTACTTGTTTCCATTCTTTTTTCTTAAATCAAGAAATTACATTCTGTTATGATTCTGTGGTTAGGTTAATTATATTCATGCTAATCACGTGCGCATAAATTAAAATGGCGTCAAACCACAAACCCACGCGGTGGATGCAGCTGGATTTTGTCTTCCATTTTGTTCTCTGTCCTCGCTTCTTTTAGAAACTACCTTTGTGGTCCTTGACCCAAGCCCAGAGGAGTGATGTAAAAGTCACCTTGAGCTGTTCTCTAGTTTAAGAGATTATCCGGTGTATAGAAGAAAGATGAAAGAAGAAGAAGAAGAAAAAGTCTGAAGAATTTTGTAGAAATTTGAATTTGAGCCTGTTTTCCAGAAATGCTCCCGCTACATTACAGTTCACTTTAAAGGTACCAGGAGAATCGCTCAGTGAAGGAGAGCTCATTTAAGCCATTTATAAGGCTGTACAACGTAAGATAAAAGAGATATAAGTGTTTGAAAATCATAAAAACGGACGCCATCTTGAAAAATCGACCTCAATCCTACATATAGGCTACCGCCTATATAATATCACATATATGTATATACGTCAATGACTAACAAAACCATGCAAATAAACAATCGTCAACCAATAAAAGAGAAAACAAATTAGGGATGCCACTTTGAGGTAACCGTGCTAAGAAGTAAGAACTAAAGCTAAACTTCTAATCAAGCTTTTCATAAAATACTTTTACTATTTTTACTTTTAAAAATTATTAGTAAGGAGCCAATGCCTTTCCCTAGTCTCCATTTCACTCCACCTCCTCCAGCTCAGTCTCTCTCACTCACAGATAATGAGCACTCCTCTTTACTGAGCAACGAAGCTGATAACAATAACAATAATAATAATATTAATAATAATAATAATAATGTTATTTTTTAAATGCAGAGTTGTAATTCTTCTGTCAGTGCTGGCGATGACAAAACTGTATTGATGGTACAAACGATAAAGTCCCAAACTCATTTAACAACCCTCGAAGTACAGGTATACTTATAATAATTAATTAGTGGGTGTGGTTAGATTATTAATTAATGTATTTTTATAAATGTATACAATGTACATGTAGGTTAACACTATTGAAACACCATCTCTTGCTCACGTTGTCCACCATTCTCCTCCTCCTCTTAATTCCTTCGCCCTCTCTTTGTGTTAGTAATTCATGGTGTCAGCATAATTTCATTTCTATCTTTGTTCTGTTGTCATCATTTAAAGAACCTTTATCAGTATCAAAGGCTGGAGGGACCTCAGTCAGGGAAAAACCGAGTCTTAGTTTGTCACAGCACATTGAAGGAGGTAATATGTTGAAAATATTAGTAACTTATTTCATTAGAAATATTTATAACTTAATTTGTACACAGCATAAGGACATTAATATGTATCAGAAGATGTAATAAAAATTTGGGGTGATTTCGGAGCCATTTTTTGGAAAAAACCATGGGCTATAGCCTTAGGTATTTTTCAGAATTATTGCATTTTCTTAAAATGGCCATAACTTGAAAAATTGAAGTCAGAATTTTATGTAGCTCAAACTTGCTACACGCATAAGGAAATCAATATGTATCAAAAAATGTAATAAAAATTTGGGTAATTTTGGAGCCATTTTTGGATCAAAAACAATGAGCTATGTATAGCCTTGGGAATTTTTAGATTTACTTAAAATGGCCAGAACTTAAAAAATTAAAGTTGGAATCACATCAAACTTGCTACACAGCATAAACACATCAATTTGTATC